CCGCTGATTACACTCACCTGTTCATGGATCACGAACGCTAGGTCAGTGGTCTATGAAACCGCGGTAAGAAATTCTTAGCGAAAGGGCACCAAATAGATAAAGTATGGGAAAAGGGGGGGGGGGTCTACTCTACCTTGCTAATGAAAAACGTCTTCACTGCAAAAAAACACATTGTATCTAGAGTCCAGACTCTTGAAAACATTGACAAGGAAAAATGGACCGCGTTTAACAGAAAGGAACCAAGCCACATCAGCTACTGCCAAAAACGCGGCTGTTTAATCTTTTACAAGAGAACATTTAAGCGGATTCCTTTGAAAATTTTAGGGATTTTGCTTCGTACTATGCAGAAAATCCACTGAAATTTGCACGAAAATCCGCACAACCGTCCTCATGTAAAAAATTCAATTGCCCACTTAAATTTGGCACTAGCTGATGTGGCTCGGTTCCTTTCTGTTTAACGCGGTCCAAATACTCTTGATTCAATCGGATTTTTGCTTGAATCAAAACGAAATCCGCATAAATTAAGAGGCTTGGTTCTTGACTTAAGCTAGATTCTGATTGAATCAAGAGTACTTTTTCTTGTCGATGTTTTTAAGAGTCTGGACTCTAGATCCAATGTGTTTTTTCTTCCAATGTTATAAACCTTCAGACGTAGCCAAATTTTCCTTGATAACGTCACAATTTGTAGTCTTTGAGAATAGTTTTCCTCCAGTTTTTCGGAGGATTTTATTCGCTATTTGATGTGATGGATCTGGAAATTTCAGGGTGAAATGGATTGCATTTTGCCAAAAGGAATCAAGAGCATTCCAACGTCGCTCAGATCGTGCAACTTTGCTTGCCTTGCAAATATAAACAGATTATCTAAACACATGTTTTCTTTACTCCCAATAAACTATGACTTCGAGACGAAAATTACCTTTGTAAATTTAATTTTTTGGATGATTTCGGTAATTTTATTGAAAGAATGTAAGTCACGCAATCTTAGCAACATTGGAATGCTCTTAGTTCCTTTATGCAAAATGCGATCCAAATATTCATAAAATTTCTCAAAACTCGATTTTTGTCCGGAGAAATTTTGGTGACGTCCGAATGTTCATACGTCGTTTTTCCTCGGAGATTCAGTTACACGATCAAATTGAGCCATCAAACTGAAGCTCTGATTGGTGGAAAAAGGCCTGAGGTGAGGATGCGACCAATGAGAGGCCCAATTTGATGGCTCAATTTGATCGTGTAACTGGACCTTAGCACGGCAGTGCTCGTGCTGTATTCTCCACAGAAAAGACCACAAGAATCAAACTGCACTCGGTTTCACCACATAAATCATGCTCCAACTCTGGTGTTTTAATTAGTCATGGAATTGAGACATTTTTCTCCTTCATTTGACCAGGTATACTACACCCGCTCGCTTGAGCCGAAACAGTGGTATCGCGAACGCGATAACGCTGGTATCAGTGGCCAAATAAGACTCAGAATGAACGGAAGAAGTCACGGTCACGGATCATGCGGATCATGCATTTACATGCTATTTAAAAGGAATCATTCGATGTAAAAACGACCTAACCCTGGGTGGAAAAAAGGGCGAATACTTATTTATGATTGGAAAATATTTTTGACGTATCCTATGGGACAATCATGGCGAGACAAAAAAAAGTCACTAGAGCAAAGTTCTGTGCGCAATTGTGATCTTAAGGGCGGTCAAAAAAAATTATTTTTAGGTGAAAAAATAGAGAATGTTACGTCTCATTTGCTCCTAAAAAACCTTGCCACCCATTTGAAATTTTCAGTATTTAGTCGATTTCAAGATGAGCAATTCAATTTTCATCGCATGTCAGCTCATATTTGCACAGTTACGGAGAAATTTCAACTAGAACGACTTCACGCAGCATTTTCGACTGAAAAATGAGGGGATTGGAGGACAAGACGTAAAGGTGCAGTTTTCGAAAAAATTGAGGTATTAATGATCTCGCCTGAAACAATTCTTAAAAAATTGTCTGTGAATTATTCGCTACTAGAATCCAATTTTCAAGCATCAATAAGTGGGTTTGAGCTTTCTCTTCGCCTGTAAGCTCCTTTCAATGTTCAAACTTGAAACACGAATTTCTTAAAATTACAACACTTTTGCGCCTTGTCCACCACGGCCCTTACATATTCCAGGCAGAGACCAAATCCTTGGACCATACTGCCGTGTTAAGGAAAAACACCGTACGAACATTCGAGAGTTGCCAAACTTCCTTCGATAAAAAGTTTATTTTCGAGGAGAGTTATGAATATATTTTTCCTTTACATTTTCAGAATCTTTAGATGAAATTGCGAACAAAATTATCTAAAAACCTGGAAGGAAAATGGGAAATAGCGCAACACTTAATGCGCCTTGACCACCACGGCCCTTACATATTCCACGCAGAGACCAAATCATTGGTCCATACTGCCATGCTAAGGAAAAAAGCCGTATGAACATTCGAGAGTTGTCAAATTTCCTTCGATGAAATGTTTATTTTTAAAGATATGTATATTTTCCCCTGAAATTTTCAGGTACTTTAGGTGAAATTGCTAACAAAATTATCTGAAAAATTGGGAAGGAAATTTTCATAACTTTACCAGAAAATTCGCGTTTTATGAAAGGGAATTTGGCAACGCCTGAAGGTTCATACGGCGTTTTTCCTAAGCACGGCAGAATAGTTTCCCGCTCAAGGTCAATGCCAAGCTCGCAGATTGTTTCCCTGCGCCCTGCTCGACGTCGCAGGCGTTTTAGAGGGTGGCTTATAACAACCCTCTAAAAATATTCCTATCTTGCATACGACCCCTTGCGTGCATCTTACGGTTAGTTGCGTCACTGCACATATCCCTTGCAAGACGCATTCCTCGGGACCCCTCCCTGGGGATGCGCGTGACTCATCCCCCGCGATTGCGTCACAGGAAGCGAACCCTCGGGAAGGGCGGGGGAATCCCGGTGAGTCGAGAGTCCCGTCTCCAGCCGCTATCGATCCCTTCGCGTTCCCGAACCCCGCGATGCCAAACCGGAGCCTGAAATTTCTCTTTTTTCATGCAATTCTATAGAAAACTACATGTTTTTTCGCTCCAAAATGACAACATTGTTGGAAATTATAATTGCTGGATTTTAGGCTAAGACTTAGTGATTTTTTATTGGGGGGATTTTTGGGGTTATTTCGACTCGACAGCGGTGCTAGGGACTGGGGTGATTCGGGCGCTGCCCCCTGCCCCCTTCCCAAGTCGGCGTCGGCCCAATTGCCTCATGCTCCACTTACCCAGTGAGTCATTTCTTATCTCTTTATCAGATGCCGGGAGGATCTTTGACTTATCGCTTACGTCATAGCCATTTAAAGTGGTAGTAAACGAATTATGGAATTGTGATTGATGCTCTATCGATGATGTTTCGATATTTTCACTATGGGGAATCTTAATTCAGTATGGAAACTTGATAGCGAGCTGTGGTAAAGAGACGCTGAAGTCTCTGTGGTTTGCATTACTTTTATGGGGGAAAATTGAAGAAAGTCTTCAGTAATCTATCAGAAAAAAGACGAGGATTGCCAAATGAACGTACTTCTGCCAAACGGAACTATGTGCCTCATGACGTGAGCCCTGTTATGCATATATTCTTATGGGTCCCAGGGCTCGTGTCTTAGTGCACATAGTTCCGTTTGACAGAAATACGTCCAACTAACGACAGCCCATCATGAGACTACATAACTATACTTAGTCCATCATTCTCAACCTCAGTCTATAGTAGCCGACCGTTTCAACCTATAGAATCGCTCAATACTCCCCATGTCTGCTGTGTCTATCGCTTTCTCTATCAATTTCAAGAATCAGCCCGCAGGCCTACTAGGTTATAATGTGGGTAACCGGGTAAAGAACAGAGGCGTGCCACAACTGCAAGCAAACATTGAAAAAAAAACTCCTCACTTATGCGGGCTATACAGACATACCGTCCATTCCTGGCTCAGAGGCCGAAAGTTCCGGGTGCTGGAGCCGTAGCTTTGACCGCTCCGGATGATACACCCGGTACTTTCAGCCTCTGCGCCCGGAACGCAAACAGTATGTCTATATAGCCGGCAGTGTTCGAAACTCACCTTTGAGTTTTAGACGCCATTGAAGATTTTTGAGGGGCCAAATTGACTTTTTGCCTATATATTGAGGCGCATTTAGTGACAAGGTAGACGCAAGATGTTTTTGTAACAGAATTAGTAAGTGGCTGTAACTTGGGGAAGACAAAAGCACTAAGAATGAAATCGTGAAGAATAGAAAAAGCAAGCTTTCACTTGTAGTGCTAAAGATTCTGAGTTTTCTCCATTCAAATAGATTTGTTTTTCATTCTTTGTGTGACTTCCTATGAAAATCCAGATTTTTAGGGGCCACATTGGTGCAGAGACTTCATTTTTTAGGCGCCATGGCCGATTTTTAGGCGCATTTGACGCGTTGGCGCCAGTGGGTTTCGAACACTGAAAGCCGGTAACTTTGTTTTGAGTGAAGGAGCTGGAGTGTGCGTTTGAGTATACGACTTACCCAAAGTCTTAAAAGAAGAAAAATTCATTACAGTACTCATAAGGAACTCTTTGACATCCAAACAAGGACATATACTAAGGGTCAAGTAATGATCAGTGTCTCCTCAGCGATGAGTCGAAAGCTGTCTCGAAAAAATTATTGATCAGAGATGGGCATATTTCAGAGAAGTTGGGCCGATTTGATATCATACTCCTTTAAAGCGATGGATCAAATAAACGTGTTCAGGTCATCATACCTTATAGGTATTTATTTAGTTATTTTTTTGTGAAAAACGTTGGGGTGTTTGGTATATTGCATGGGCATGAAAGAGAAAATTGGGCCGTTTTGATATCATTTCCTTTTAGATGATGAATTCAAACGGTACTGCCATCATATTTTTGGATGCCTGGTTTTTGTTGTTGTTGTTGTTTTTTTTTTTTTGGTAATTAGTGACATTTTTTGGATTGGGCCGGAATTTTGTACAAAATACGACTTACCCAAAGTCTTGTTGATCCAGTCGGCGAGATCCTCCTGGAGGGGTAGGAGCTGGCGACTCTGGGAGGACACGATCCGGTCCTGGTAGAACTCGACGTACTCCTCCTCGGTCTCGGGGAGGCGGGCGCCGTTGCAGGAGGCGGCGAGGCCCCACTCGTGGCCCAGGTGCCCGTTGCCCGAGGGGGAGGTGACGAGCGTGGTGGAGCAGCGCCACGCCGCCGCCGTCCCGGACGTCATCGTCGCCCTCACCCGCGTCCCCGACGTCGACGAGCAACGCTTCTCCGTCACCGCAACCCCTCGCCGCTCACCCGAGCTGGGTCCGCCCCCGCTGAGCCGCGGCGCCACCTGAAACAAGAAACAAGAATAGAGAATTTGCAAGTGTCTGTTTTATGAAATTCGTGTTTAAGCAGAAACTACTAAGTGAACTGAACACGAGGATACCTTTGGTTCATAAATTGAACAATGGGCCTGTTGCAAACTTTTGCTAGAGCAAAACTAAGAGTTGTTTCCTACAGATAATGCCTCAAAAATCACGATGAGCGCATCGGCAAAGTCTGAAATGCACTCATAACTTCACAATCTGCGTAAGAAATTTGCGGTTTTTTGAGCTTCCCGCTTCGAAAACGATACTACGGCACAGGTGAATATTTTGTTAGAGGAGTCGTTCCATTGGCGACAATACTCATCATGGCCGACGCCAGTCCGCCAAAACACGTGTGATGGGACGAGATAACACTTGAACAGGATTAAACCATATAACAATCGGCGTGTTTACGTTCATATTTTCCTCGCCCGCCTTAATTGACCTTGAACTCTCTTCGAATTACGCGAGGAACTGCGCAAGCGTCGGCCATGATGAATATTGCCGACGATGGAGCGACTTCTCTAACAAAATGTTCACCTGTGCAGTAGTATCGTTTTTGAAGCGGGAAGCTCAAAATAACGCAAATTTCTTACGCAGATTGTGAAGTTATGAGTGCATTTCAGACTTTGCCGATGCGCTCATCGTGATTTTTGAGGCATTCCCCATTGGAAACAACTCTTCATTCTGCTCTAGCAAAAGTTTGCAACAGGCCCATTGGACGGAGTTAAACAGAAAGGAACCAAGCCACATCGGGATCGAACCGAGAAAAAGAGGTTTACAGTTTGGCTCCTGCATAAGACTCAATGTAAAAAAGTAACTTCAAGTTCAATTTCTGCAAAATTTGCTCCAACAAAAACTTTTAGTTTTTGGTGATAGATATTAGAGCAGTGGTTGATTTCAAAACCACTCATAACTCAATTTTTTCCAAAATAAGGGTTGGTTCCTTTCTGCTTAACTCAGTCCAATCATTGGAGGAAATATGACAAAATGACCTAATCTGTTAAAATACATGTGTTCAAATGGAAAATGCCGCCAGATGACGTCACCAGGCGGTGCATTTTCTCACTTTTAAATCTATTTCTCTCCAATTTCCCATGTCAGAAAAAAATTATGAAAGCTACTGCGAAATCAGCTCTTCAAGCACTCTCAGATGAAGCAATAAAAAATTTGCGTGCAAATCCTTCATTAGTTGCAAATCCGAAAAAGGTAGTCCGGTCCATGCATGATGCACTGAAAAAAAAAACTCCGGCCCTGGGGGCTGCTTATCCTATGGTTGAAATGGTTGGCTCCTACGGACTAAGGTTGAGAATGATGGACTACCTTTAGTTGTATAGTCTCATGGGTTGTCGTTGGTTAGTCTATTATCTAGGTTCTTTGTCGAATGGAACGGGTGGTTCCCGGCTACATAGACATACCGTCCGCATTTCGGGTTCAAAGGCCAAAAGTTCCGGACATAGAGCCCGGAGCAATCCAAGCTACGGCTCCAACACCCGGAACTTTTGGCCTCTGCATAGTCTTGTGTTTCACAAAAAACGCACAATCAACGCTCTGCAATTGAGTAATAACTTTCCCTCGTTAAAATCGGTATTAAATCAATCCATTTATTTGCAATAATCAAATTCGAATCAAGCGGGATTATTGAACAACTCCCCCAAAATTCCCTCTGCCTTCGTTCAAGGTACGTTGTACCTCCTATTCAAGGGGAATGCTTTCGTAAAACTGAACAATCGTTTATAAACGAATAACATTGCGTCAAGGCGGTATAGTTCGTTAGCCGCGATCGGCCGTGCTAAGGAAGAGCGCCGTATGCGCCATCAAGCGTTGCCAAATTTCCTTCGAAAAACAACAAATTCTCAGGAAAATTTGTGAATATTTCTCCTCCAATTTTTCGGAGGATTTTGTTCAAAATTTGATCTAAAAAGTCTGAAAATTTCCGGATGGAATTTTCCTCAAAATTGTATATTCTCTGAGAGGAAATTTGGCAATACTCAAATGCTCATACGGCGTTTTTCCTCAAAACGGCAGCGATGCTGCCATGCTAAGGACAAACGCCGTATGAAACTTCGTTAGTTGCCAAATTTCCTTTGTTTAAATACAAATTTTCAGGAAAACTTGTGAATATGTTTTGTCCAATTTTTCAGGGAATTTTCCTCGTAATCAGATCTCTATCATCCGAAAATTTCAAGAGAAAATATTCATAACTCTCCTCCAAAATAAATCTTTTACTGAAGGAAATTTGGCAACTCTCGGATGTTCGTACGGCGTTTTTCCTTAGCACGCAGGATGAATTCAGCACGGAAGTCGGGATGCTGATTTTGAGCTCCAATTCACGGCAGCTCCGATTCACTTTCGCGTTTATCCCCGACTTGGACTTATTCCTTTCCCTTTCTTCGCATCGGCTCCGCGAGACGGGAGACGCACATCACGTGGACCAACGATGCGTTAAATTCGATTTACACTCATCCACTGATCGCTTCACAGAAATCATGCAAGTGCTTCCCTCGCCACTCCATGTTGCCAGCATCGGTAAAATAAGTAGACGTATGTCTGCATAACGGAACTATACTGCAGTGATAGCGAGGAGAGCATTAAGTGGATTGCATTTTGCAAAAAGGAACCACTAGCATTGCAATGATGCTAAGATTGTGCAACTTCATCTTTTGCAATAAAATTGCGGAAATCGTGAATAACTATGAAATTTAGATGGTAATTTTTGTCTTAAATTTACAGTTTTTAGCGAGTAAAATAGAAACTATTAAAGGATAATCGGGTTTTTCCTCCAAGACAAAAGAAGTTGCACAATCTTAGCAACATTGTGATGCTAGTGGTTCCTTTTTGCAAAATGCAATCCAAGTGTCAAATTGTCGAAATCGAATTTCCTTCAAAATTCGTTTCGTTTTACTCTGTTTTTCCCTTCGAAAATATAGGTGCGCGTAATCCTCATTCTTTCTCTCACTAAATACGAGAAAATTTGGCAGCAGTCTAATGACGCAACATCAAACGTCAGACGTTAAAGATGAGACGTCTGACGTCGTGGATTTACGAATCATCGAGCACGTTATTCGGACCGTTGCGTTTCCAATACGATTCACCACTCCCACCGGAGCACCATCCTTCGTCGACGGCAGGAAACGTGATGCACCAAAGATCACACACACAGACTTGGGTACGAAACAAGGCGAGTATTTTGGAAACCGCAGTCTTTCGACTCTCTTTCGTATGAAAGTTGCAGTAAAAAAGTTTAGTGTACAGCGAAAAAAAAGTTATGTTGATTTAACATCCTGGATGTAAGAAAAAATTGTGCAATAACTTTCAAAATGATAAATTAATCGCTGCAGCAGTCACTTTAGAAATGTCAAGATGTACAACTAACTGTTGTACCGATTAATTCAGTATTTTGTAAGTTCTCGCACAATTTTTTTACGTCCAGAATGTTAAATCAACATCAGTTTTTTTTTCGGTGTAGGGCTGGACTACATAGTGCAGCGTCTAAAAAACGAGGGACGCTGTATATAAGTCTGCCAGAAAAAATAATGCAGCCTCATCCGACGATGTTGAAAATTTTGGAGTGAAATTTTGTGCCGGAGTCTGTACAGCAAGCAAAAATCCCCGAGAGATATAAATGCGGAGCAAAATCGTTTCTCCTCACGGAGTGATACACACTATTACGGAGTGGAATTAACTCTTTTTGTGGAGTGTCATACGCATTTATGGTGCTAATTTCACGTCGCATTCACACATTCACATCACTGGGTTTTTGGGTGCTGGTTAGACTTGGGCACCAAATTCCCTTCGTGATTTGTAACAATGTGCGGTTTAATAAAACTCTATGTACAATATTTGAATCTGTGAGAATGACAACACCACTCGGAAACTTAAAAATGCCCGAATTTCATCGGAAATGCTCAATTTTCATAGAAATCATGGAAATCGGCGCATCTTTGTCAACTTGGGCCTTTAGAGTGCCCCAAAGTACGTGTTTTTGAGCACCAAAAATCATTTTCTGAGACCAACTTCCTCCCCATACTGCACCGTTTTTTGTGTCTCTTTAACGTTATAAGTTTCCGAGTGTGTCTTCATTCTCACTGATTAATTCATGCCTCCAGAAGCTTTATTTTATAAGTCCCTAAAAATTAGACTTGTCAGTCAAAATTGATTCCTTTAATTTTTCGATTAAGTTAGATTACTTCAGTAATGAACTTGTGAGCAGAAAAAAGGCACTTTACGGAGGGGCCCTGGTCCGCCTCTTCCTCCCTGATTAGGCGAGGCTGTGCACATGAAGGGTTGCAGGGGTTGAAGAGCGACCCCTCTGAACAGGAATGCGAGAACCCCCAGAATCTCTCCGACTTCCGCCGATAAGGGCGGAGATGAGAGAGATAGAGGCTGCAGTTTTCGGCCAATGCATGCAAATAAATCTGAATTGGCTTAAATTTATATAGACAAGCTTGAAGGCAAACAGGCTTCAAAGTTGATGGCGCAGTAATTTCATTTACGAATGATTGGTCGAAACTTGAATTAATTGCGAAAATTGGTCTTCTTCATCGGAAATTGCATTTACTGGGTGATAGAATATGCTACAGTCACTATTCGAGGAGATACTTCCAAAAATGGACGTGCATAAACGAGTAAAGTGCCGAATTTGATTAAGAATGCGATTAAAAAACTTACACGAAAAACTTACACAAAATCTAACAGTGAGTCCTTTTCGTCTACCCATTGCTTAAAAATAATATTCCAGTTTATATATGACTGCAAAGAAACACAGCAAGAAACACACGCGTATATTTTAGTTTTATTTGAATTAGAGATCAATAGAATTATATCTCTTATTTATTCATTTATTGACCGTTCGTTTGGCAATTTCATATTTTAGACACAAAGTGGAACTAATTGAATACAGCCGTTTTGAATGTAGTAGAGGGAGGGGATTAATTCTGCGCGAGAATAAAAAAAAATTCTGGGCGCACAGAAAATGGGACAG